TACCGGTAGACTCGCTTCCTGATGAAAGCAAATGGGATGTGCCACAACATATAGCAGAAGAAGTTGTAATGTCACCTACTGGAAAAGGCAACCAGAGAGACCTCAAAAAGAAAGATACAAACCATATGATGAACTAAATGCAAAGAAGTACAAGGTTTCATGTGGCAACTGCGGACAAGAAGGTCATAACAAAAGATCTTGTAGGAATGCTCCCAAAAGAAAATAAGAATTGATATAGTATAAAGATTTTTTTTACTGAGTAATGTTGATGATAATCTGTCCTTTAAGACATATTCAATTGTGTTTGTTCTATTATAGACAATTATAGTTGTGGTGTAATTGTGTTGCTAATTTGAACAAAGATTGTCTCCTATAATGAATGTTCGTTAAACAAATTTCAACTCTTAATGCAATTGGTTTGTAGTTGTTTTGTTCAAAAACTGGGTTTATTTATTAGTTTTAAGCTTTTCCTAACAACACTGCTAGATTTGAATAGATTATGTATTTTTGTATAGTAGACATAATTGTAGTTATGCTGTAAAGAAATTATAGAATCCCAATATCAAGTACTAACAATTTTCAACCAAAAAACATGCTACAGATATTTTCTATTGCAAGTAGTAGAATTCTTGACAAAATCACAAAACAAAAGATAAAACAATTGTAGCACAAATCTGCTACAAACAAATTGTAGCTGAATTGTTCTTAATAAACAATTTTCCTACAACTTTAATACAATCCAGCTACAACTAAACACTTTCACTACAATTTTTCTAATGAAAAGGGCAACTAATTCTTTTTGTTCAGGACTCGTGTTCTCTCCCTCACAGATGGTGCACCTTTTCTTCTTGCTAATCTTCCAGTCATCTCAGTTTCATTAATTGCACCAAGCTCTTGCTTTTTCCTTGCATAATCCCAAAGGAGTGCTCCATAGCGTCTACAGTGTTGATCAATATCAGAAAAGTCTTCCTTTAAAATCGAGAGTTGTCCAATGCTGACATATTCTGTAAATGCCGCCACGTATACACCACAGTCACTGCAATAAATAATAATGGAAAGGATTTAACATTCAATGTAAAATATAATTGGCTAAATGAAGGAAAAGTAGCACATACAGTGATCCCTCTTTTTGCTGGGGTATCTCACCAACCAACCACTGAATGTCAAGAGAGTCAGTAATATCTTTTTCAATGTATGCCTTTGTGTTCTTATAGTTGATGTCTGGACGCTTGCCATAGAAGCCGGTGGATGACAAGTAGAGGGGGATCATAATAGCAAACTTGTCGACAACAGATTCAACAAGTTTGTGATTATATGAAGAGACCATAGAATCATAAACATATAGAACCCTATCGGTAATGTCAAATACAACCAACAACCAATGAAATTTCTCAACAATGTTTATGGGCATAATCATAAAATCAACTTTTTTCTATGCAACATTTGCAAGTAATCGGTACCCCAATATGTATTCTGATACGACGTCCTGGGGTTTGACAACAGCAAGCTTCCTACCAGCAGGGGCATTACTGTACCTCTTATAAATATGTTCTATTCTAGTCTTGAACATACAGTCAGTGGTTGTAAATCGTATTCTATTTTTAGGACCGTACTTTCCTCTCTTCCTCAAATTGTATAAAGTAGAATCAATGTGCTGTAAAAGAAATTTCATTATTTCTCACTGCTGCATACAATTTAACTATAATTTTCAAATGAAAACTCTACAGATATCTAAAATAACAGAATACTTCAGTTAATCATTAAAATTTGTTAGGGTATGAGTGTACCATATTGTTGAGGATTTGCCTGGAATGTGCCAGAGTATAAAACCAGTCATTTTTATCAACTTTCTCCACTCCAAGATCAAACCACGGGTTGAGCTGGTTATCTTTTAAAGTATAAGGCGTTCTTCCTATTTAAAGACATAGAAATTATAGTTAAAATGTAGTTACAATTGGAAATCCATAAATTCTATGCACTCGACAATATGAAGAAGTGTATAATCTAACCTCTTTGACACCGTATCGGTACCTAAATATAACCACTTATTAAATTCTTCCAACAAATCAGGATCAACATCGTCGCCAATAACCCCAGTAAATAGATATTTGATGTTGAAAATTAGAGGAGGTCTAATAGAAGTGCTTCCACCAGAACTTAAATAAGAGATAAATGGGGATTTGGCATGCTTTCCAGGAACCCTTGTTCTTCCTTGATGCACAGGGGTTGTTTCATCTTCATTAAACTCACCGAACTTAACTATATGTGAGAAGTTCTCGGGCAGCTCAAAATCATCAATTGTTATTGCCCTTTTTTCAGATCTGGAGTCACTGTCCGAGTGAGCTACATTGGTGAAGTCGACTGGTTCACCTACAAAGCTAAAAACAAAAGAATAACTTTGTATGTTGCTTGAATAAAAAATATTGGGAATACTGTAAATGATATGAAAGCTGATATTTTTTTCTACAATTATATTGTAATATATAATATCACTGAATCTTCATTGCAATCCTCTCCTTGTTGTATAACATTTGCTTCTTGAACTGGAGATTGCATATGCATAGTCTCCTTCTCCTCATTGAAATGCTCTCTTTGTATGCCAACATTTGAATCCTGTTTTGGAGAGCTTCCTTCTGTGTAACAACAAATGTGTACAATTTAAGAGAATTATAGATCATTTGTAGTAAACTCAAATAAAAACTATAGATCAATTGTAGTTAATTTGTTAAAATATTGTCCTATAGCTGAGATGTAATGTGTATTGTGAAATATGTAGATAAAATGTACTAAATCATACCTGCAGTTTCCTTCTCCAATGTTCCTTGAAATTGGGAAGATAAGTCAACGCCTATCGGGCATGATATAAGAACATTCTCCTCTTTTTGTATGTCAGACATGTGTCCTGTATCTAAAACAACAATTGAAAATATAATGTAGATTATTTGTTGATATTTTAGTAATATGTGTAACCCATGTAAGACATGTCATCAAATTATGTTAAAATTGTTAAAATACATGTTTTACTGCTGCTGCCCAACACTTGTTTAGCACTACTGTCATGATACTGTTATTTGTTCTTTTCTTTGTAATGCTCATCATTTCTCGTAGAACTCCTAGTAAACTGCGAGCACAATTTGTTAGGCTATATACTTTATGAATGCTAATATAAACATAAACATGGTAAAAAATATTTTCCAAAATGAATATATTTTGAATGAAACCTTAGCATCAATGTTAGTATCATATTGACTTTTTATTGCCTGTAACACAGACTTGATGGAATCATTGAATAGCACTCGATGCTACCTAGTTCTTCAAAAACCTAAAGAACAAAAATTGCTTATAATGTATCTGACAATAAGAGGCTTACAGATATATAAAGAAGCCTAAAAATCAAGAATTAGGTATACCTCTTTCTTGAATAATCCAAGGTCTGAACCGACCTAAGTATAAAAATAGAAAGAGTTAAAGAAATAATTTGCATAAAATAAATCAAAGAAGCCATCTAGGAATATCATCAATTGTTACCTTATCAACATCTTTTCTTCATTTTTTTAGTTGTTTCAGAATATCTTTCTTGTCATCTATTCCCATTACATGCTTATTGCCAAATGAAGATGGAGCATCTGTCGGATGCTCGGCCTGCGTTTCAGCTTCTTCAAGGATGTATTCAACTTTGTCTGGCAAAGTCATTCTAGAAAGCTCTTTTGGGGCTTCAATCATGTTGGTGAACTGAGTGAAATAAAAATGTGAGGGACGTAGTCATCATATGTATAAATGTGTAGATATTTTGTATTTGTATTGTCTGTACCATAAAATTATACCGAAATCCTTATCTTGTCCTTACTAGTTGTCCAGTTTAGTATGCGGGGAACCGAATTACCAACACTTGTAGCTATATAGCATTGACTGTAGAGCAACACTCATACAACCAGATTTGCATAGCAAGTGGAGAACCTCGAAGGAGATAAAATGCACAGAAGGGTTCAGCTTATGCCTAACACACTGAAGAAATTGTGTATAAGCTTCGATACCCCATGCGAAATTCGCATACTGCCCCGAGTCTACCAAATAGAACCTAAAGTGGTCGTCAAACTATTATCTTTCTCTGAAGGACAGAGAAAGAATTTTATCAGATAGAGAATACACAGCTTGAGTGCATCCTCATCATTCACCCAACTACAACTGGTTACGATTTGTTTCAAGTACGATTCTCAACTTTTTCCTTGTTCGAAAAATAACTCCTTATTGTTTTACTGTCATACTTAGGTGTGTAAGCAAAGTCCGTTACTTCTATAAAACATCTAAGGCCAGTGATAAGGGCAAACTCCCTCAACCCAAAGTTCAGTCTCTCACCCTTTATCTCTGCTGTAAAAAATTGAGAATCAGATGCGTTCAATTCATACTTCATGAGAAGGTGAATCGCCTGATTTTGGATACATATTTTGGGCATGCAAAGAAAGTGCCCAAAACATGTCTTCTTAAACAACTTTAACCCATTTTCAGACAATAATACCTTGATTTAGGTAGGAACAACATGATCCCATAATGTCTGTAACCTAGTGATTCTATAATCAAAATTATGTGGTGCAAAAAAGTCTGATTCTGCACCAAAAGAAACATTAAATTAATAAAACATGTTTAAAGACCAAAAAATAAAATAATAATAATTCTACTACACTTTAGCTACAGCCAGAAAGACATTCATACATTGCATACAAATAAGATACAAAATTAGTAAACATATATAACAACTGAACTATATTGAAGCTACAAATGCACTCACAAATTTATATTTAGAGCAAGAAATTAAAAATTAGAAACTAACAACTAGACATAATATATACAATTTGTTTACAGAAAATAAAACTAACATCTAGAAATAAGATTACAAATAGTGTATAGTAGGTAAAAAAGTAAAAGCTACAGAAAGTGCATAGGGAACAAATTCTTTTTTTGGGGATGTGTTTAGAAGTATTATAAAAGCTAAAAGGAGACAAATCTTCTATATCATATAGTTTTGTCCTTAAAATTTTAATTTGCCCAGAGCAAGAGAAGAGAAGAGAAGATGTCCAACAATGCAGCTGATGAAAAAATTAGTGAGCAATCGCAGTCGCAGTTGCAGCTGCCGTCGGAAGGGTACCCAAGAGAGCCTCTCTCTTACCCTAAGCCCGAAGCTGAGTACCAACAAATTGTTCAAAATTCCCAACTTTTCTGGAACAAACTTCAGCAATTCTCTGCATCCCTCCCTACCAATTTCCAGTTAGTCCCTTCTTCTATTCTTATATAAATTGCCCTTCACCTTCAATTACTTAACTTTTCGTTATTTGAAAATGTTTAGATTATGCGTCTTGCTTCTTGAGTTTTTTTCCCCCTCTTTTAGCATAGAAAATCTTTCGATACAAGACAGGGCCGTCTCAACTCAAATGTTTGCTCGTCCTTTAGGCCGATAAGTGAGATTTTTGCTCATTGCAGTCGCCTCAGGTTCTTCGAACATGGATATTACCGGGACCCGCTATTAGAAGGCTGGTATCTGTATAATCTCTCACAAGGCAGAGGGGATTTTATAGGCGAGTGCATGTATAAGTAGACGTGTAATTATATTCTGTAAGGTTCACTTTATATGTAGTAATTCAAGATTACCAAATTTAATAGGAGTATAAATAGTTCTATACATATTCTTTATTAACAAGCGTAGTAAAAGGTGTGGATTTGCCCCCTGCGCGCTAGGTGAACGTAATGCTTGACCTACGTCACCTTTTAAGGTTTGGGATACAATGGACCATGCCTGGTACTTTGAAGGATGCACTATCTAGTTGGTGTTTTAAAAGACGCCGCCAGGCTTGGTATGTTGCTCCATTAGCACTTATGTGGACAATATGGAAGTCGAGCTTTTAAAGAGAAAGAGATTGATTTTGCGCAAACGAGGAATAGCCTCCCGTGTTTAGTGTCTTTTTGGTGCAACCATGGCGTTCCTACTTGTATAGAATATTCGGTGTCTTTGGTGGATAATCATATCTATTTGAAGATTCTCTACTCTTTTGGTATACTTCTTGTATACAGGAGTTTTTCCCATCATTATTAAATTACATTTTATTTGATTAAAAAGCGTAATAAATTAAGAACTTTCTTACTGTAATGGGAGTCAAACCAATGTAGATAAAGAACTTTTACTAGCTTGTAAGATGACAAAGTCCTCATCTTGGAGAGTAATTCTTGGAGACAAAGTTTAATTCCATCTTATTGACCATAGAACTGGTTGCATGATACTGTCATAACCGAATGCTTGTTCTCTATTCGTTAGCTCGACAGCTATGCGTTCTTGAGGAAGTTATCTGTTAGGACGCCAATAAGGTAAATCAGTGTGGGAGAAACCATGCATTCAGTTCTCAAGCCAAGTAAATGCCATATCCAAATTAGATTCGTTGGATCCTGTATTTACATCATAAAATTGGCATTCTTATATTGATGAGTTTGTCACTCATTATTACAATCGAACAATTAACAGATTGAGTGCACATTCCATCTCGTTAGGATTTGAAAGTTCACCTGCTGGTTCCATACAGTTGAAGTTGTGTTTTTGGCAAAGTTTGCCATAAATAGAAACTGTACTTTTTGACTTGTGGTGATGCAGTACATTGCTGCTTTATGTTTTTGTTAAAATGCGTTATTGACCTTGAATATTGTTAAGGACATGTGGAAAAGACGCGAAGTTGAGAAATACTTCATTTTACTATCAATACATGAATACATAATGGGGTTATACTTTACTATATGGAACATAATTCTTTTTGTTCACTCACTATCATCTGTGTTCAGGAGATGTACATGCATCAAGTATTGGCTCTAAGATTTAGTATACTGAAGCACAGATTATACTCTAAGCTTCTTGGATAGTGGATACAAGAAAAAAGCATAAATAAACAGTAATGTCTAAAGAAAATTAGAATGATGAAGTAAGAAAATGAAATCTACCGAGGTGAAGTTACTTCACCAAAAAAACAAAAAAAAAGAATCTTCTGAAGCGAAGTTGAGGAAGAGATGATCTAACTAGAGATGGTTGATTGACCTTCAGAAACAATGTCGCAAGTATATACACTGATGGTTTCATCTGTTGTGATTTAATTATAGGGAAAGAAGATATTTTATGTCATTTGTGAGAACCTTGGTATGAGTCTATTGCTGACGTTGGTATGAGTTAATTGTACTTTAGCGAATTGCAGACTCATGTTAAAGAGGTTGCTCTGAATTGTCAAACTTGCTAACTGCTTAAAAAGTAATCAGAAAGTCAGTGATCAAGTTGGTGTTCTCTTTTTTCTCAAAAATGTTGGCATGATCTTTTCTTCCTTTATTCTAACTCTTCCCACTGTACAGGATCCCTCTTGTAGCAGGAATACCGCTAGATCTACACCGTCTTTTTATTGAGGTTACGTCTCGAGGTGGAATAGAAAAGGTATGTACAAACAAACTTTTTGCTTCAGTTACACACATATTTGCTTTCACTTTGGAGAGAGAATCTTCGATATGGAAACTACAGTAAAATGTAAGCATGTTGACGCATGACAGTAAATCTTCTTCTTTTGGTTACATTGGGTATCCAAGACCTAAATTATGTTAAATGTAATAATGGGCTTTGAATATTAAACCTTTAACCTTATCTCTGTCAAATGCTAGTCTAAAGGTTCCAAGCTTTTCCTCTATTTTCTCTGGTTTCATTTGTTAAACACATGTTCCACTTTGCAAAAATGTACAGACGTGCACAATGTTCTTATTTAATATCCGAGATATATACTTCTAAAAGGCTCCATTGGCTGTTCTTGGCATATCTGCATAAGACGTTTTCGGTAAAGAGACATTGGCATTTTGATTAAATATGTTCAGTCTTGAATGCACAGGCGTGACCCGGTAATTGCTATAACTACTGAGGTAGGAAATTTCTAAGGAAAAACAGTGGGAATTCTGGTGATACCTTATATATTGCAGCTGTTTGTTGTAGCTTTAGAGGAATGAGGATAAAGGGGAGAAAAGATGAGAAAACCAAAAAAGAGATGCGACCTTCCATCATGAGGATCCTCAGGGATTACTTTTTCTTCAAAATCTGTCCCCATTCATCTTCAACTAATAATAGACTAGTATATACAAGACACAACTTTGGACTAGGCTCAAACATGAGGGTGGCTATTCACATAAAAAGGGTAACTCATCCTTGGCTGTAGAGCTGGTTCCAAGTAGTTTCACTCAATGGATATTGCACCTTGAAATTCATGAATTAGGCACCTATTCATCAAGGTCATACTCATCACCACTTCAGCAACCTCTTGGCGTTTGAGGCAACTTAACTTCAATTACAAGGACATTGATGCATATCTACTTTATCAAAAAAAGAAAGAAAAGGACATTGATGCTATCTGAGAGGATAGGATTCAAAGGGTCACTTACAGAATCAAATTACTTTGTCTTTCTCAGAGATGCCAAAATCTAGAATATACGCTTTGGGGTTGTCTGGTTTGTGGCTTAGTTATGTAGGGATTATAATGTAGGAATTGTTTATGTGGTGAATAATCATGTAAGAATTGTTATGCGACAGTGAAAACCATATGTGAATTAGAACCGTGAATAATAAAACAGAAAAGGGCCTAAAGTACCCCTGAAGTATCGAATTTGGTACAATAAAGCCCTCCTTCCACCTTTTCGAATAAAAAATCACTTACCGTTTAGCTTTTGGCTCAGCTATGCCCTTATTTCTAACAACCTTCTATTTAATAAAAACTTTTTTTTTAATCCATGTGTTATATTTTCATTAGCTGAACTTAAAATCCAGCCCTAAACACTAACCCACCCGTAACCCGCCTTATTACCGACCCGCCCCCGTTTAATTCATTTTAACCCAAAGAATCCATTCTTTAAAGACACAACAACGTCTTCTTCTTCTTCCTCTTTTCTCAATGGTGAACTTCCAAAACCAACATGTGATTTTCCAGAAAGTTTTCCATTGATTTCATCAGCCAGGACTCCCGCAGGATTTTCAAAGGGAATGGCAATAACCTCAGGTCTTTTACTGCTGTATTTCCGTACCATTTTCCTTAGAACTTCAGACACCGTTCTTTCCATGTGCGGCAACGGGCAACTCAGCGGACAGCTTGACAGTGCAACATGTGCAGCTTTATGAAGCGCATCCAGAAGTTTTCCTTTGTCAAGCCACAAGCAGCGTGTGGTGATTCTTATTTTTCCTTTCACAGCTTTCTTTGTCGTATCATCCGTGGATTGAGGATGTAATATTTCCATACTGCATTACAGATATCTTACAAAGTTCAGTATCACACAGTGGACAAGTATGTCATGCATCAAAAGCTTAAGAAGTTTACCTGACCACTATAATACCATCGGAAGCAATTCTTTGTCTCTCATCAATACAAAGTTCAGCAGCTGGAGATGGGAGATGGGAGATGGGAGATGGAGAATTTGAAGAACCCTAATGAAAAGAAGAAGTAGACGACGTTGTTGCGTCTTTATTGAATGGATTCTTTGGGTTAAAATGAATTAAAGGGGGGGGGGGGGTCGTTAATGGGGCGGGTTACGGGTGGGTTAGTGTTTAGGGCTGGATTTTAAGTTCAGCCAATGAAAATATAACACGTGGAATTTTATTTTTTTAATTTTTTTTTAAAATAGAAAGCTATTAGAAATAAGGGCATAGCTGAGCCAAAAGTTAAACGGTAAGTGCTTTTTTATTCGAAAAGGTGGAAGGAGGGCTTTATTGTACCAAATTCGATACTTCAGGGGTACTTTAGGCCCTTTCCGGTAATAAAATGAGGATTGTTATGTTTGATTGCCTACTTTATGGGCATTTTTATCTTTAAATACTCTTATTGCTAATACATGTATTCTTACTCTACATTCTATCTCGTATAAAATAATACATGCATTCCGCATAAGTTATACCAGTATTAATGATAAAGTGTTCTCTGATATTCTTTTTGTTGATCGGTACAATGTTTCTGATATTAAGCGCCGCATAACTTATGCAGAGTTTAGTACTTATGTGGAGCTTAATATGGGAGACCAAATGTTCCATCAGTTATATGGAGATTATATTAGTAATGAAAAGTTATAATATTGAAAACCAAACGCTATATAAGTAATACTGAATTTTATACTGGGAATATATATCCTTATCCCTTAAACCAAACAACCCCTTCTCTCTTAGAAATAAAACTGTGTATTTGTGAACTGCCTGAACAAAAATTAATAGTGTTAAATTGACACTTTCCTAAAGTCCTTTCTTCTTTGATATTCTCAAAACTAATTCAGTGAAATTATTGCTGCTTTGACATTCTCCAACCTACTTTTTTTCTTTATCAGGACTAGAATAATTTGTCCGCCTTCAACATGGTTGGTCTAATGTGATTTGGAGTTCACTCGGGTTTTATATTGGGAACTTGCTGCAGGTTATTAGAGAGCGAAAATGGGGGGAGGTGAAAGGAATATTCAGATTTCCATCTTCTGTGACCAGTGCATCATTTGTCTTGCGGAAGTACTATCTATCCATGCTTTATCATTTCGAGCAGGTTTATTACTTTCGGAAAGAAGAACCTTCTGTCTCTGTGGCTGGTATCATGACACTTTTGCAATCAATTACCTGTATTTGTGTTTTTAAAGTTTTTGTTATAAAAATAAAAACTGGGGAGACTTCATCTATATGTTCTGCAGATCCTACAAATAGAAATGTAACTGACTCTGCAGCTGAACATGCTAACAATGATAGTGCTGCTACGAATCAATGTTCAGGTGTGCTTCCAATCTTTTAAGACTTTAATTTTCTATCATGAGATCCTTCCTCCGGTGTATGTTTCTTTATGCCCCATTAGTTTGGTATAACATGTTAGAGAATGTCTTACCTTTTACTTGTTTGAAATTTTAAGAGAGCTACAACAAAGAAGTATTGAAACTTGATAGTCCTTGTACGGAGATCTCTTTTCTCTCCTGCAACTTGGCTTTCATATGTTTTCCCTTTTAGCTCCTTTGTATTTTGTAATGTCCTGTTTTATAGTGGATAGACATACTTAGCTTGTGTCATCGTTATACAATTTTTTGGTTCTTGTAACTGTAGTGAGTTATAATCTGGAGGCTGGAAGTTCACTGATTGGAACCATTGATGCAAAGTTTGATTATGGTTACGTAATCACTGTGAACCTGGGCTCGGAGAATTTAAGTGGTGTACTTTATCATACACCTGCATTGCCACATCAGTCCCAAAGGGTTAATACTTCAGCTAAGCCTTCCCAACGGATCAGGAAAAGACGCAAGTTGGCTTTGAAGGACCCCTCTCGACCCAAGTCAAATCGAAGTGGTTATAATTTTTTCTTTGCTGAGCATTATGCCAGGCTGAAACCTTCATATCAGGGGCAAGAGAGAGCTATCAGCAAAAGGATTGGACTTCTTTGGAGTCGACTTACAGAGGCCGAGAAACAGGTTAGTTAAAATGGCTCGACACATTAAACTTTCACTTTTTTTGTTTATTGCTTACTTTTATGTGTACAAACTGCATCTGAAGGCTGGAATCGTTCCTTATCATTAAAAAAAAAAGGCTGGAATCGTTTCAGTAAACTCTTTCCTTTTTTGCGGATAAAAGTAATAGGGAAATGAGGATTTAATTTTGTACCTGGAGATAATTTACATGTTGCTACTGTCTATTATACAGTAACTTTGTAAATGACCGATTCTTTATTTGCTTGTTCTCTCGTGTGACTTTTAAGCAGAATCATAGTTGATTGTTTTTTGAAGGCATAGTTGCATTTTATGTTGTATTTAACCACCTTAGTCACTGAGTAATTGTGTGCATTTTATGATTCCAAATGTCAAAAGTTGCCTCTTTTCAGTAAAAAAACCTTAACCAGGGTGGTTGCTTCATAAGTCATCAGCTGATTGTTCCTTGGGGGGAGAGGGTGGCTGGTTTAATTTAAGGTTGTCTTTGGTTGCAAATTCTGCTGCAGACTCAAAATTAGCAAAATGACATTCTTGGATATCCGCAGTATGACGGAGACAACTTTTGGAGTTATTAAAATATCACAGTAAATATATTTGACGCTGAAGAGGAAAATGGGGTTCAATTCTCAGCTAATACTCATCTTCAATATGTGTTGCTCGTAATGCAGGTTTATCAGGAAAAAGGTGTGAGAGATAAGGCGAGATACAAGGCTGAGATGCTGGAATACAAGTCATCTCATGCACAACCGCAATAGGCTGAGATTAAGAAACATCTTTGTTTCCCCATCTTTCTTTCTTGTTTGGAAAATCATCATGTTTACATAGGCAGCTTTGGACTTTGATGGATTTGTGAAAGTATTGTGCTCTGCCTTTCTTTCCCTTTTTGGGTTAAAAACTGAGCCTTTTGGAGCAGGAGCAGCTGTTGGTATCAAAGAAGTTTCATCCCAGTTTCCTTGATGGCAAGTGTAATTCTTAAAATGGTCATCTATTTATGCATTTCTACTTTCTTCTTAGACTTTGTTTCTTTTGGAACAATCAACATACCATTTAAGTTATCATCCTTACAAGCTCTTAGTTTTGACTTTTGAGTTGAGTAGGTAGTTGGTGTGAACTTCATGTATAAGACAGTAAATATTGCCAAAGTTGCTTTCAAATTTATTAGTGCGTTTGGTGAATGCTGTAACCTTTTAGAGAAATATTTCTTCCTAACCCTCTCTTTCGATAATTGTATTTCATTTAGTGTTTTATACTAAACTAGTTTCAGATTAATTGTTTGATTAACAACAATAAGTTCAAATGGAAGTATCACACATTGACTTGATTGTAGGATATATATGTTGTCCTTCGAAATGGTACGCAGAAATATATGTAATTCTTATTAAGTTCTAAATTCAAATTTTGTATTAACCTAAATGGTGAAGACTCGGAATAGCAAGAGGTCAACGAGGAGAGGGAGTCGAAGAATTTTAGACTTTTTATCACTGTTTTAAAAGGCGTTTTTGGGGCGAGGCGCACCAAAAAACGCCCCGGGGCGATGGTGTGGGGTGAAAGTCTCAAGAGGCGTACGCCCAGCAATTCGGTGCGTACGCCCGGGCGTTCGGGGCGGACTTTTTTAGTGAGGTGTAAGCCCCAAAGATTTTTTCAAATTAAAACAAAATTTGTTGAATAAGTCCTTATAATACCCAAATTCTCAAAGTCAGCTCGTTAATTACTCAAAAGTTTTAAAAAGGAACTGAAATGCATTAAATTTAAAAGTTAAGACCTTTTTTATTGATTGAAGCCCCAATTCATGGTCTTTCCCAATTTTTTATCTTGTCCGCTAGACTGCTAATATCTCCCAAAAGCAACGAATATTAATTTTTTTTTACAAATACAAAGAGAACTCCATTCTCCTTCGTAGCAGCAAGTTCAAAGTTCAAATTACAGGTTAGTCATCCTTTTTGTTCCTTCATGTAGAAAATTTTATTACCTATGGGGCTTACGCCCCGTGCCTCGGGGTTTACGCCTCGCTGAGGCGTATGTAAAACGCCTCGCCTTACGCCCACGCCTTTTAAAACACTGCTTTTTATACATCAACGTTTTCTTGAAGAGATGAATTCAAACTTGTTGATAGGTACCACTATGATGATAAATACGGTAACTCAGTCTCAGTGAGCATTGAATGAAAAAATTGAACTATGTAAAGGGTTAAATAGGCTAAAACTTATCTACCAGGTTTACGTCTAACTAATAAGTGCAAGAGATATATCTTTCATTCACATATTTTTCACTTAAGCATCGTTGGATTATATATATTTTTACTTTAGTTTTTGACAATTAAAATTAAAATATTTGATTTAGCATAAACATCAATAACTAATTATCCGGTTATACTGCAAATGCTTGAAAAACTAACATAGCTAAAGAACATAGAAGCACAAACAATCAACAAATTGGTTATGTTGCTCTTTATGACTTTATAAAACTTTTCTTTTCGGTACTGTTCAGGAAATTCAAAATTTATAATCTTGTGGTGAACTCAAATGTAATTTATAAATTATATGACAACTTACTTATACCAAAAAATTGTCTGGATAATTTTTGTTCAAATATAATGTCTGATTACTTTCCTTCAAATATTTTTTGCAACAGAATTTGTATAATTTAAACCGCTGCAGTGGATGTTATTAGCTCAAAATTAAGCTAGCACTTTAGTCGTCAAGAGCATAGAAAATCAGCTCGACATTGCTTCTTATTGTCCACGTCACTTGTAAGTATTAGCCAAAATACCCACACTTTGTCTCTTCTTTTTGTTTCTTTAATAATTAGATGCATCAATTATTTTATAAGCTGAACAAAAAGGTAAACGAGGGATGTAATTTTGTTGCGAAGAATTTCATGACAGAGGGATATATTTGGAATAGTGTATGATAGGAAAACATGAACTAGAGTTAATAAATTTGGTGGCATGACGCCATTAAGAAGGCCGGTATGGAAAATTGTCAAAAAATGGAAATGAGAATTCAACCCAAACGCAGTGCTCTAAAACGCGTTGAAGAAGAAAATTATACTCGTTGTTTACCACTTCACGCTTTAAATTAGGGGTACAAAGAAGATCGATAAATCACATTAAATCAATAATTCGAGCCAACCGAGAAAAATAATTTGATGTGATTTGGTTTGAATTGGTTGGTACTGGAGAAAAAACCTGATTATAATTGATTTGATTTGGTTTTAATTAAAAAAGACAAACCGAAACCAAACCTACCCTACAATATATTTATACAATTTTAAACATATTTTATACGTATAAAAATTTATTGTAATGTAATTTATAAATATTTCTTAGATTTTTTTAAAGTTTTATTTCTTAATGTATTATTTCAAGATTGGACTTAACATTCTTGAATGGTCCAATAAGTTTTATAGCCCATAAATGTAGTAATAACTCAAAATAAAAGTTCATATCAATATTAATGCTAACAAAATAAATTCAATTCAACACTAGAAATGAACAATAGTGTTGGATAACTATTTTTAGTTTTGCATTGGTTTATAACGAATATGCATAACTTATAATCTTTTTCTTTAGTCATGTAATTAATAGTACTTATTAGATATACTTATTTTAGCATAACTTATATAGTACTTTTAGATTATGTTCATTTTTGTTATGGCTTATCAATTAGCAATATTTGTTTATGCGATTTTATTATATTGATTATTGAATATTTTAGTACAATGCTATAGCTCATCTCATATTATTGTCCTATTTTCTTGAAAAAATACATTATATAATTGTATCCTACTAGGACAGAAAAAAATATTTGGAGCACAAGTTATATATTCAGTGCTATGAAAACTTTACCTGGAAAACCCGAAAATTCGGAAAAAAAAAAATTGAAAAACCCGACTTTGTTGGTTTGATTTGGTTTATAGAATTAAAAATCCGACACTATTGGTTTTGGTTAGGTAATTAAAAAATTCGAACCAACCCGGCCTACTACCCCATAATTTAAATGACAAAATTGAATGCACATTGTTAATCATGTAAACATAAATTGTTTCATCGATCTTGTGAACTTACATGTTTGTGAATTTTCACAGCCAGTTTAAGGAAAAAAAATTCACACCCATGCCAATACATTCCCTTTAGTTATTACTACCGTTAAATATTTTTTCTCTCAAGTCTATATGAGAGAGCTAGATATATATAGTGCTTTGTGGATGGTTTTTGGGAAAACCTTTTGAAGAACTTTTGGATATATTTTGTATTTTAGAAGTTTTCTTCTGTTCCAAAAAGGGGTTTTAAATTTAGCGGATGGTCACTAAAATTTTACTTAATTGCACTCTGAAGTCATTAAATCTTTTTTATATAAGTAAACGTCACTTACTTTATCTAAAATAGTGCAACTCTTTTGGCCCTAAGAAATAGTTAATTAGGATTTTAGGTATGGGTGCTATCGGTCGGTTCGGTTCGGTTGTAAATATTATCGGTTCGGCATATATATATCTGTTATCGGTTTATAAATATGTTAAATCGATAATCGAACCGATAAGATATCGGTCGGTTCTTATCAGTCCAATTATCAGTTTACCCGATAAAAATAAAAAATAACCAAGATATAAAAAAAAAGGGATTACATTTTAACTTTAGAAATGAAAACTTTCTTTGCATGTGAAAATCCCTACGAATGATCTCAAATTTCAAAGATATAAGTTAGTACTTAGTAGGAGTAAGTAATAAGATATACAACAATTTAATCTTACTACCTATTTAGGTACATGTGGGCATAATTCACAGAAAAATAATAAAATCCTAGTCTTATAAATGCTAAAGAATCATTGCAACAAAATAAACAAATAGAAAAACAAAAAATCTGAACAATTAATTTTTTAAAGTTTAAAACTACAAATCTTAACTGAAGAATGAAGATGAGAAATTTAGAAAAGTTTAAAACTTACCCAAAAGATTAAGGTCTGAAGATGAGAGTAATTGTTAAGAGAATCAAGGGAATAAGAGAATGAATTCATAAGGTGGCTTTATGTACTTAATGGATAAAATTATAATTTTGATAAAACTTCTTGGATTATCGGTCAAATCGTTAATAAAATTAGACAACCGAAACCCAACCGATAACCCAATAGTCAAATAAAATTATATCATTACTGCACCATTTACCTAATAATCGATATCAATAACCTAATAATATTTTATCTGTTCGGGCTATCGATTGTACAATCAATTATCAGGAGGAGCAAAAGAGTGTTTACTGATTGAAATTCCATTTTGACTTATTAATTGGCAATAAAATCATTAAGGATATCGAGTATCTTCTTCTTCTTTCAATTACACATGATTTTAAGTAGGGGTGTCAATGGTTTGGTTCGACAGGTTATTTTATAAAATTTGTATCATATCAATTTTTGGTTATTCTATTATATATATCCAAAATTAAACTTTTTGAAACCGTCCCAATCATGTCGGTTTGTCTTCGGTATCGGTACGATTTGGTTAATTTTTATTTTTTTTCAAACGTCATGTAAAAGTCACTAGCTAGTAAAAGTAGAATGCAATAACGTACATACTTTTATAAGACATAGCAAAACTCTCTAGACATTTTTACTGTTTAAATGGTGATGAATTATGAGAACATGAAAGATGACCAGAGTATAGATCCATCAACTACTCTACCGCTGCGTAAAAGAAACTACGCAAGCACAAAGAAAAGATAAATCATACAAATAGAAAGGTATTAACCAAGTTGGGACTCAAGAATAAAGTCTATAGAAGATTAAATATTCAAAAAGATAAATCAAAATCATAAAAAAGGAAACATACTCAATATATTGTAGTTTGCTATTCATAATCCTTAGAATACTTTGTGTCTTGCTATTGAATTTGCTGGGGATAATTTAGTTTCTGTAGGAGTAGTGATCACGCTCAATTGAGTCTCATAAAAGACTAAGCGGGCGTTGCAAATATAATCTGAGTATTATTGCCCAGAGTCGAACCACAGGGAACTAACCTATCAATCACTACTGTCAGATTTACTAAATTCACACAATCTGTTTTCCCAAACTTTTTGATTCACAATGGTTGATTTTCTAACAACTAAAGATTGAAAGTAATTAACAGTTGAAAATTAACTAAACTTGATGTGTAAACAGTAGGAATAAGGTCTAAGGCAATGGT